CCCCAATTAGGGACCTTTAGTAGCAAATAGGTGACGGCAAAGGCGACGACGACGGCCAAAACAAACTCATTCAAATAAGTAACTTTAAGATCAACATGTCTTGTATTATCCTTTGTATGAATTTGTTGCAATTTAAGAAGGTTAAGACAGAGGTTTATAGTTGAGAAGACTTCTACTGTCTCTATACTAAGCCAATTTGGCGAGGACGACTTCTCGCGGCTTGAAAGGCAGACCGGCGTTGTGTTACAAAATGTGAAAATCTTTGGTTTGCTGTTGTAAACAGCAAGGATGACGTCTAAAACTCCCAAGGACTTTAATTATGCATTTTCGTTCCACACTGTCATAAATTTCATTGTATTAGCCGTCGCCGTCCTGCTAGCTAAAGGTCCCTATTATCAAGCTTGCTACGGCACTGCATTGTGAATCTTACTATGCTTAGCATAAATGCAATTTGTAACGTGCTTTTCTTCATTTATATATAAATTATTATTGAATTATAAATGCTGCTTTTGACGAGTTAGTGGAACAGAGCAATGTTAAAGCCCGATTGAACGCCCTCCTGAACAATTAGAGCATCTTTTCCAATCATTTTATCAGCTAATTAGCTTTGACAGCAACCTGCACCCAAAAGTTCCTTTCCACAACCGCGACCTTACAATGTTATGTGTTTCTCCGTGCACGGCGAGGTGGCATTTTTAAAACGCCAAAACGTCCTACAAACGTCAAAACGTCCTTTTCACGTTGAAACGTCCTACTTCTTTTAGCTTTCATCTACATGTAGTTTACTTCTTTAGAAATTATAACCCACATTCGTCTTTTAATAATGGAGTATGCTTTGGTTCTACATACTACATTGCATGCTATCTCCATGATTTAGGAATGTTTGATCATACAATTTTTAATGCTTTGATCGTTTCCTATGATTTACTTCTTTAACGACAAATAATCTAATAGAGTGAAAGATTTATTATATTCACTCTTTACCACGCCTTCTCATATTATACTTTGAAATCTGCGACAATGACTTCTGTAAATTTTCTATCAGATTGTTTGCTGACCGCATTTCTATATGGGTATGCTATAGCTGTCATACCAATATAAGACAGTTGACCTTTGCCCCAAGTGCAGTTTACCCGTAGATTAAAGATTGATTATGTTGCATTTCCCCTTTAGCGCAGACTTGAATGGCTTTACCTCTGATCACATTCGAAGACTGCCGAACTCACCCACACAAAATGGAACCGATTCTATTCTGTCCTTTTACGCACTTTTACCAAGTGGTAGTGGTCTATTACCTACCAGTGTCTTAGCAACCATATTTACGTCACACCAAGACAAGATTCTCTCTGGCGTGGACAGTGAACTTGAAGAACCAGGAGTTAGCATAGCAAGCACTGAAACTCCAGCTCTTACCTCCACCCAAACCCAAAACATAGTGCCAATAATAATTTTCAACCACAGATCTGGAAGGGTGAGTGGAAAGTATGTGACGTATGTCTAAAGCGATGAAAATTTAGCTAGCTGACCACTAACTTTCCGTTTTTTCCAATTATCATTTTGAGTTAGTACAACTATAATTTGAACATTATTTACACTGCCGGTTGTTTGTGCAGCTTACGTGAAAGCATGCATTTACCTAAGATATTCGCGAATTAATCCAGATTAATATAATTTTGTTGCACAATTTTACTTATCGACTATAACATGTTCATGCGTATTACGTTTTTTAAAAAAATATTAAAAACACACTAACATGATAATCTTCAAGAAAATGAAGTCAGGTCTGTATATTATAACAACAAAATTTTACTGGAAAGTTATATTTTATGATAATTGACAAGTTTTTACACCGTCTATAATTGGACCTATATTGGGCGAAAAAATAAGCAACAATTTAAAGATGCACGTGCCCTTCTGTAGAAAAAGCAATTGATTCCAGTTTCAGAGCTTGATCGTACACACTATCAACATAACGATATTGTTGTTAATATCTATATAGGTATCTATTTACAGTGACTGCATGATTTTATCAATCTAAAATAATTTCATGATTTTGAGAAATATTTCCGTGCTTTTTCACAATAAACATTTAACAACAATAGCGAATACTAAATTATAAATAAATCTGAACATAGGGAGCTGAGGATGGGCTGCAACATGTACTGTACTTCGGGATTTTGGTCAATTGTTGTTTTAACTTTTTGCCTTTAACTATTTTCCAGGTTAATACGTTGGTAGTTGTCGATATTAGAGTAACTGTAACTGCGAAGATGAACCTTTTCTGCTTCAGTACACATGGTGATGTATGCGGCCTTACAGTCATTGGGTAAGTTGCTAATTCAAACAATATACTCATTTGTTGTTTTAAAGCCATTCACAATAGTTCCAGTATAGTTCAGTGCTCATAACATTTACAATTGTGATTGAACAGGAAAATTGCTTTCCATGTGACACAAAGCGGAATGCTACATGCATTGTGGGGATCATTTTGTGCAAAGGCCCTGCTTGTGACCTCTTGCACTAATTTTATGGACTGCAAGTGATTGCGTAATTCAACAACAGGTTGATAGAGATGGGACATTCAGAGAGCGGTTGTTCAGAAATATTTCCAAATGTATAAACAAGCCTGTTAGGAAGTGTGCTTTGAATTTTTGGTTAACCTTGCTGAAGATAAACGACATTCCAACAACCGGCCGCTGTAGATCTGCAACGCTCGCCCAGCATAAATTGTGTAGATTATCAAGTTCAAATTTATATTTTAGTCACAACCGCATGAAGCGTTGCGACTTACTTTATCCAACATTAGAGAAATTGGAACAAAACAAAATTCTGATTTCTCGCCTATATACCTATGGTCACGGCTTACGCATATATGTGATTCGCATACAATCGGGCCAGCGCGCTTTTTCATATGAACGCGATGTAAAGTTTTGTCGCACAGCAAAATCCAAAATTCTTAGCAAGAATAAAATTCTTGTTTCAAGCAAGACATGGTTTTAAAGAAGATATCAAGTAAACTTCGTCTTACCAAGCAAAAGAGTTTTGTTAAAACAGATACATTTGTAGTTGCTAAGAAAAGACGTGGTAATTTGTTACTTGCCAAAAATAATAATTTACTTTAAACAAGCATTAATTCACATACTACAGTAAGAAAACTTTAGCACTTAAAATAAGATTAAATTCATTCACCAAGAAAATCTCATCCTTACTTAAGTGATACTTGTATCTTTATGGATTTGAAAAAAGCAGAAAAAGTTAGTTCATAAGTTCTAGAACCTTTTTTGAATTAGTTCAATAATTCCATGTTTATAGACCCTTAAACATGGCAATTTTGCCCTTTTCGCAAGAATTTCCGACGGGCTTAAATTTGCTTGGAGACCTGGGACTCAGAAGCGCGAGCGTAAACAAACACTATAGATTATATTACAATTTGCCGTTATAACTTACTAAAATGATCATTTTTGCAAGAAAAATCGGTTTATTTAGCTCAAATCGTCTTTCAGTACTGACAAAATGTTCATATACAATTACGCTGAATATAAAATCGTGCTGAAACGTACAAAACGACTTCAAAATCATATTTGAAATTGAGCCTTCCTAATTGTTGTTATGTCGTCAAGCATGAAAAGTTACACTGACGGGTTATGTTTTGAAGAATAGGTTTGAAAGCTAGAAGAATATAACAGGGATATGTAAATAAATTATTTTTAGATGAAAATAATCGTGTTAGTTCTTGGTAAGTGAATCGAATATTTTCTATTTGTAAATATCGTGTGATAGTCACATTTGGCAATTATGTGAGACTGCGAGTAAACAAACGAAAAATTATGTGTGTATTTTAGATCGAATAGCTTAACCAGCATTGCCACAACAGGAAAAAATTATATCGACTGAAGAACGATGCGATCTAAAACGAACAACTACAACGAACATACAACTGCATTATCTGATGTTTGGTGATAAATCGGTTCCATATCATTTGGACAGTTCATGTATTCAATTTTGATAAGCGTAGAGGAAATACCGTTAATCATTATATCAATAAGTCTTGTTTTGTATAAAATAAATGTATTAGCCTAATCGTTCATGCATTGTGTTGAATTAATGTCCATGGTTGAATGTCCTAATTATGATGCATGGAAAAATTTCCAGAAATCTTTGTTAATATATGTACTTGACCAGGACTTCCTTAAGATGGTGAAACCAGGTGAAACCATGCAGATATATAGTTTTGAAAAGAGAACTGCTTGAAACAAGTAAATTATCCTCGCTTTTTTTATAAATTTAAATAATTAACTAGTTCTTGAAAATTAGTAAATTAATATTAAAACTAGTTTTTGAAATAGGAATTGAAATACTCATCATTTCAAGGACTAAATTCCTTGTTAAGAAAAATATTCTTGCTAAGAATTTTAATTCTTGGTATAAGTAAAAACATTCTCACTATACGGACAAGTATTTTAATTCTTACTAGATTCAAGTAATACTCCTTAAAACTAGTAATTCTTTTCTTGAAATAAGAATTAACATTTTCGTTTATGCAAGCACTTGATTATACTTGATAAGAAAACTATTTCTTACTAATTATAATCATGTAATCATTTCTTGGTAACTAAAAACTTTCTCACTATACGGACAAACATTTTCTTTCTGGATTTAAGTGGTAATATTCTTTAAACTAGTAATTATTTTCTTGAAATAAGAATGAAAATTCTAATTTCAAGCACTTGGTTACTTAATTGTTAAGAAAAATACTCTTGCTGAGAATCAATTCTTGGTAAGTAAAGACTTTCTCACAATACGGTCAAGTAATGTTTTGCTTGTTTTACGGAATAATGAACTTAAAATAAGTAATATATTAATATCTTAAAATAAGATATTTTGCTGTGCGCAAAATTACTATGAGACGAGGTCACCAGTAGACGAGATTTTTCGATAACAACACTCATATATATGAACAGGTCCTTTATCATCATGCTCCCACATGTTGATTCAGATTTCTTCAAGTTAGCTTTCAGCATATCCGTCTTTTCTCCACACATCGTCTCTTGCCATCTTTTATCTCGGAGAGTCAATTCTGCTTGAGCATGAATCTGCTGTCTTCAATTCTGACCACATGACCGATATTGTGCTATACCCTATAACGATGTAAAATTTAAATAAATTATTTATCTGGTCGTTCTATCCGTTGCGTGTGAGAACTTGTACAAATCTTTAAAGAATCACGGTCAACCGTGATGTTTCGCGCGCTATGTGAATGTTTACAAACACGGGGAGCTAAAAATAGTGTTGTCTTCGAAAATAGTCACTAAAAATTATATGCATTAGCTTTATTATAAACAATAAAACTTTAATACATTTACTCGCTGGTGTTTTGATGAAATCCTGATTCCTGCTCCATCGCCTGGTACTTTCACGCAGTTCGTTTATGCTTTGATGGAGCAGGATTAAACCCCCGTATTCCCAGGCTTTCTTTCCATTCCGTCCAAAGGACGATTGTTCAAGTATCGTTGAACTTGTCAACGATATTCTTTTTAATATACGAGGGACTTGTTGGTCTTCCACGAACGGGAAATACAGATTGAAGCCATGATTAGCCATCCACTTTACAAAATGAGAAAACTTTCTAAAATCATTGGTTAAGATAAAAACACACGCCAAAATCTCAATCAATGATCTATTAACATATTCCAACTATGAAAAATATGACAGCGTCTATAAGAAGAATGCAGATTGATAAAGATACGCTTCGGATATCAATCTTTCGACACTAAAGTGGCTAATAAAATTGCAGAATACAAAACAATCAAATCATTTTAGCCCGCAAAGCATCACGGATGACTGTGATTCTTTTAATTAGCTGTTCCGCACTAAATTTCAATAAGAGAAGAATTGATGAAGAGGGTTATGTTCAGGTTTTGGGCCCTCCTAGCGCGGTATAACATGCTGGGCCGGTTGTATAAAGCTCTTAACTACTTTTTAACAACCGGTTTTGTAGTTAAATAGTGCGGTTATTAACTTTAAACGCGTATTTAAGTCGGTTGTATAAAAATGTGGTTAGCAATAATTGCAGTTCAAAAGTAGTTAAAGTTAACTATGCTCTAGGGTAGAGGAGGCTAGGTGACTATACCGGCATGCATTGCGTCTCATTATTACTCACAATTGCGATTTTTGACAAACGTTTAGTAAAAAGTTGTTGAAATATATTGCGATTTTTATTTTTGAAGATGTCATTTTTTCGGAGGTATGTTTTTATATTTGTATTATTTAAGAACCTAATTAGACTATTTTTTACTTTTTTGGTTGAGGAATTGATTTTTAGTTATGCCAATTACGTACTGTATTTATTATTATTAAAGGTTTATTATTATTATTAAAGGTTTATTAAGAAACACATTTTGGCACCCGAAGGTGAATTGCAATATGCTTACAGAAACATAATAAAGGATGAATATCAAATAATATAAATATAGATGTATCGTATATGTACAGTTGTTAAAATACTACAAATTATTTACTATTAAAATTAGCAGTCATTGCTGGTATAAAACTAGTTTTAAAACGTTCCGTTCTGCATTTAGTTAATGTGAAGTTAGAATTGTTTCTTCAGTCCAGTTCATGCGATTCTTCACGGAGTGGGGGTAAGAGGTGGTTGAGGTGAGCATCGGGTTTTAAGATCTTTTTGAAAGTTTTAGCACATAGCTCTTGACGTCTGTCGTCAAGGCGCTTGCATTTAGCGATGTTTGAGAGCATCTTCGTAATCTGTTGTCGGATAAATAATACGGAAAGCTCTTTTTTGAACTTTTTCAATTTTATCCCCCAAACACTTTGGTAACATGGTGTGCCAGACAGGACAGGCATATTCCAAGATAGAGCGCACCATAGAAAAGTAGACTAATAAGAGGTCATTGGGGGGAAGACCACAGCGCTGTAGGACACGAATAATGTATAAGCGTTTTGAGGCTTTTTTAACTAACGCTTCAGTGTTACCTTGCCATTTCAATTTATTGTTCATGGTTAAGCCCAAAATTTTGAAAGAAGGAACTAAGTCTAGAGGCAAACCATCAATGAGGAGTCGGGGGATGTCATTCTCGCTACGGACGAAACTCACTATCATTTCTTTGCATTTCTTTCCGTTCAATTTCATGTTGTTATTAACAGTCCATCTTTCAATTGTGTTAAGATCAGATTGTAGGACTAAAACTTCATTTTTCTTCAAGGACTCCGATATTGTTACGTCATCCACGTATTTCCAATGGTCAGTGCTAGAGGATGCCAGTTCAAGATCCATCATAATTATGAACAAAATAGGGCCCAATTTAGTTCCTTGAGGGACACCTGCGTTATTGATGCCCCAATCAGATTGGAAATTGTCGATCTTTACCGATTGACGGCGATTTGAGAGAAAGCTGCATATCCATGGAATAAGCGACAATCTGACGCCAAGGGCGAGCAACACGCCAGCAAGGGATCCGGGACATGCCCCCCCCCAGGAAAATTTTTGAATTTAGAGTCTCTGAAATGCCATTTCCTGGACTTTGGGGGAAGATTTCAAAGACTAAATCTAATGGTCAGGAAACGGCATTATAACGTGTCGAATTTGCAATTTGGTTAGAATTTAATAGTACTTAAATTGGGCAATGCTAACTACTTCCAGCAATTAATCTAATCCCAATTCTATTCTCTACTATTCTCCGGTGTTCCGTGTTCCTGATTTTACTAATTTGATTTCGTCCGTTTCGAGGCCCTGTGGAACAACACACGCGCGCGATCGGAAGATGAATGCCATGAACTGAATTATTGCCATGAGCTTGTAAAATATTTCCTAACCGCATGTTAAAAACTATCCGAAAACCGCCATTTATTTTGGTCAATAACCGAATCCGGAGGGCTAATTTCGACATTTTCCGTCTCCGCACGATTTCCAGTTAACCGCAAACCGTACAAAATAACTGGATATAACCGAAATCCGACCTCAAAATATGGCTAAAACCGCATAACCGCGAAACTATAATAGGCCCCCTGTAAGGGAGATTGGGCCCAACTCCTCCTTACAGGATACGGATGGCGCTTTAGGAATTGGTGTAATTAACGCATCTTTCCATATGTTAGGGAATTCACC